TTCCCAAAGGGCTAGCGACATGTCTCTGGATTTTCAATTGCTGACAAGAAATGCAGGTGAGAGACCATGTCTGGCAATCTTTACTGATGGATGGCCAAACAAATTTTGCTTTTACCAATCTGGTTGAGCTCCTTACACCTGGATGGAACAGGTTATGGACAGTATCAAAGGCAGTGTGATGATAATTAGCTGGAATGTATGGACAAATGCGACCTGTTGATACATCACAGTAAATTTTGACATCATTGTCAGGAAGTTTAAACTTTTTAAGTACAAGTGATGAGTCACTTGAAGTCAGCAGAGACTGGCACTCAGGATCTTGCTGTTGGTCTTTTGCAATCTTGCTATAATTTATAGATGGGTCACTAATTGGCTCAATACGGGAGAGAGCATCAGCTGGAACATTATCAATCCCCTTTATGTGTCTGATGTCCATTGAAAATTGTCCTATAAAGTTGAGATGTCTCAACTGACAGGGAGTACACATATCGTGTCATTGGTGGAAGACAAACATTAATGGTTTATGGTCTGTGTAAATGGTAAACTGTTGTGCTTCCAGCATAAACTGGAAATGTTTCATAGCCAAATACACAGCCAGAATACTGACGCTGAGAGTTACTCAGCTTGCAGGAAAAGAATGCAAGTGGCTGGAGACCTTGTGCTGTAACTTGATGAAGGGCAGCACCTAAAGCAGAATCAGATGCATCAATGTGCAGTGCAAGGGTAGTACTTGGTGAAGGATGGTGTAGTAAGGTGGCTTCTGCTAATTGTGATTTATATGACTCAAATGCCTGAGTTGAATTGTTAGTTCATTTAATTTCATATTGGTCATTTTTCTTTGTTCCTTTAAGTAGGTCGAGTGAGATGTGGAAAGTTCTTGAGGATATCCTGCATTGGGGAATTGCTGCTGATTATAGTTTTGACTGAAGTAGGTGGTACTGTATATCTTCCTCATGTAGTAAGGGAAGTCAGAGGGTCAACCAGTAATCTGTTTCTGATGTTGAGAATGAGTCCAAAGTTGGCCAAAAAGTCTGCATCGATTGTAGGCTTCTGCACATCAGCTACAGTGAATTCCCATCTGAAAGAATGTTGAGGTCAAGTTCTAGCACTTTTGTTTCGTGTGTTGAGATTTTAGAGTTGGCAGCATACAATTCAACCTTTGTAGACTGATTCTTAGTGCAGTTGGGAATGATCAATAAATCTGCTCCATAATCAATTAAGAAATTTAGGCCTGTTTTGTTGTCATACACAAACAAGGCTATATTTTGGAGCCAGGCTGGACCCACAGGGTGTTACTGCAGCTGGCTGCGCTTGTTTCCCTAATCAGCAGTTTGGTCAAAGGAACATGACGAACAACATTTCCTAGTAGCTGATCAAAACTTATTGTGGTAATAACAATATACCTGATGACTTAGGTTTCTTCCTCGAGAGCATTAACTAATGCTATACCTCAAATTCGGGTTGTCAGTTTCTCTATCTACTACGATAACGGGGGCAAGCAGTACATGATACATTAAGTTCTGCAACCTTCCTTGTGAGTTCTACAATCTGCAGTTCAAGATTTCTGATTACGGGATTTTCGACTTCTAAGTTGATGCTGGCCAGTTGGGTTGGTTCTGTAAATTCAGCAACCTTGTCAGCAAGGATGGCTAGTTGGTCTAGTTCATTGCCACTAACAGCCAGGACTGTTTGAATATTTTTGGAGAGACTTTGGAGCCACAAGTTTCTAAGAAATTCTTCAGTAATCTTGACCACTGAAAGCTCCCTTATTTTACGGAGTAAAATGCTGGATTTCTGATCCCCTAATGCCAGATCTTCAAGCAGAATTTTACCTCTTTAGCAATGGAGTTCTGGAAAATTTGAGGAGTTGATCTTTGAGTTTAGAAAACAGGGCCTTGGCTGGATGGTCAAATACTAAATCACTGACATTAGATAGAATCTCTGTGTCCAGGGAATTGATTAAATAATTGCACTTAGTGTTCTTACTTGTAATTCAATTAATGGCAAAAACTGCATCTAGTTGCACAAAAATAACTTGATGTTGGTTTTAGTGAAGATAAGCATTTTTGCCTGTACATGTCCGATTTCCGGCTCGTTCTGTTCCGCCATTCCTGGTGCCTAACTATGCAGCTTCAAAGAAAAATGCGGATAGTCTTTGATTAGGCTTAGTGCAAGTCACGTACTCCTAGTCTTCTTATTTGAATTTATGGTTCAGAAACAGATCATACCTGCATGTCCTGTTAAAAAAGTTCCTTCATAGGCACAAAGTTGTTCGACATTTGATTCAGTCGAAAGTACAGGTAGTTCATTAATCACATCACGTTCAGGTCACCACTTTATCATTCAATTTTGCTGATCCTTAAAATACCAACACTAAGTGCATGCACAAACACAAACACACAAACAATAACAAAAGAACTTTACTAAATAAGATCAGAACTGTTGTCTACATCCTCAGGCTACACTTGGGCAAATCAATGAACTTTTGCACCTTTTTCTTTTTATTCCACGTTGCCAGCCAACCATGTTTTCGATCTCTGGTGCTGGCAGCCACAAGTGTAATAATTACAAAATGTTTTTCATGTTATATATTTGATGGTATCAATAAAGCATACTAATTAGGTATGATGCCAAATGTGCAACTAGATTTTTTTGGAGATAGATCCATTTGACTTAGGACAGTAGAACTAATGATTTATGAACTTGAATTTATTTTGATCATCTTTTTATTTAAAGATTTTATTGTTGAAATGAATCTTATGTGGTGCATATACTGGTGCCTAGTCCTATGCCAGACCAAAGTCAAGGCATAACTACAGAAAACAAATGTTTTGTTAAATGATGTTTATGTATGTATCTGTGTTTAAGAATTTCTTGACTATGACTAATTTCCTGACACTACTAAAGGCTGCCATACTAAATACATGTATTGCAGACTTTTGTAGAGTGAAATCATAATGTTTCAAACTTTTGTGTAATATGTTGTATGATCTCTGTACAAGAAAGGACTAATGATACTATATGTTCCTCATCCATTATTCACAGATGTTTATTTCTGAGTATTTACTAAGTTTATTAATGCATATATTTTGCTTAAATAGTTCCCTCTTCCACAAATTGGGCAAATAAATAAAATAACAAACACACTAATTTTACATTTCTCCCAGCAGGATCATGAAAAAAATTAACACAAAACAAATGCTTTCGGTCTACTTTTAAGACCTGCTTCAGGTTAATGAACTGTTAGGAGTAAGCATAAGATTGCTTGAGAGAATATATCATACAGGAACACACAACAAAGATAAACATGGCTAAAAATAAGCAAAAAAGATAAAAATTGTCTATTGGCATTACTGGTAAATACATTTAATTAACAAGTACAAGCACTTTTGACAGTCTATAATCATCATCTTCAAGTAATATGGCAGATGGAACATTATAAATCTAGAGATAGAATAAGTTTTCAAATTTCTCTTTGTGCACAACTACAGAACATAAATTTTCAAAAATATAAAATTATACACCATTACAAAATAAATGTAGTATATGATGGAAATGGTTAACAAAAATAACAAATGATTCTCAAACACAAAACTGTGCTACTATTTAAACACTTGGCATCAACTGAATAAAGATGAAAAAACGCCAAGTATTTAAATAGTAGCACTGTTTTGTGTTTGAGAATCATAGAAAATTATAAAACACGGTTTCAGAAAATTGAGAAAAATAACAGAATTAAAATACACAGAAATAATTGATGATAATAATTGTGTGATATAAACAAAATAGAAATGCGGACATGGTTTGAAATTAAGAAGAATTGATAAGAATATAAAGAAAATTAAACAAAATGTAAACACTGGAGCCCCCTTGGAAGATTGGTACGTAAGTAAATCCAAGAAAGAGATCTTTTTATTTTTTTCTTCCTCTTTAGTAAATGAGATGGTCGGTAGAACTGCCGACAAGAATTGTATAAATTGTAGTAACTCACCCTCCAAGTCATTTCACGCTAGCAGCATATTAGCCACATACTGCAGATATAGAAGGGAGTAACATATACAAAGCAAGGATTAAAACACTTCAAATTAAACACTTCAAATTCTATAACTAACTTAAGCTAAAGTAGCTGAAAGAGGCAAGCTCACAGATACTCTGTTTCTGCAAATAAAAAGTTTTACCATTGAAACAGAACTAGTTATTTTCAGTAACTAATAAAAGATCCTCTCTTAAACTCAATATTTATGGTATGAAATTCCCATTCTCACTCAATAGAGCTTTATTAATTCTGGAGGATATGCATTTCAGACAATGTCTCTCATCACTCCTTTTTATTTTACATCAATTTGGATGGCAGAAGTTGCTTGTGGTTTTAAAAGTGGCAACTGTTCATTATAAAAGGAGGAAGTATGGTAAAATTCTATTAAAATAATAAAAATTAAAAGTTGTTATAAAGAAACTTGTATGTTCTGCAAATTATGAAAGGAGGGAGTACAATAAAATGCAATTAAAACTGTGGAATTAAAAGGTTGGTAAAAGAAAAAGGAATAAAACTCATTAGAATGTTAAAAACAGGTATAAAATCCACTGTATGACTTCACATTTGTTTTACTTTCTCTCAAAATATTTTTTAATGCTTTGAATATCCAANATAAGGAAACTTGTATATTCTATAAATTATGAAAGGAGTGAGAGTAATAAAATACTATTAAATACTGTAAAATATGAAAAGCTGGTAAAAATAAATGTATATTCTAAAAGAAATAAAACTTGTCAAACCTACTTTTAACAATTTTATAATCACTGTGTGATTATCATCTAATTGCTTCAATATTAGAAGATGGAATGCACTGAAGAAAATATTTGAATTTGAATTTATACAAATATTTTCATCAGTGAATTCCATCTTTGAATATTGAAGAAATTTTATCAACCTGAAGCAGGTCTTAGAAGTAGACAAAAAGCATTTGTTTTGTGTAAAGTTTTATTATTTTTTTTTCCAGGTGTACTTTTACTACAAATGAAGATTCTCTTAAATGGCACAGAAGGTTAATGTCACATCTTGTATCACCAAGTAAAATTGATGAATTCTTTGGTTTTGCATTTTATATGTGGTGTAGAGAAGAGAGAAAAGATTTGTTTGAGCGTTTAAGATCATGTAAGTAAACATCAGTTTTAAATCATTATTATTTTATAATTAATTGGTGGTTATTTTTTAATTTTCTGCTTACAACCAATCAACCAAGTCTAACGGCTAAGTTGGATGATAATCTTAAAATATGAAATACATTACAATCTTGGTAATCTGACATCTACAGTATGGGACTGGAACAGTGCAGATTAGGAGATTGCCAAATTATTGGAAGTAATATGAAATAAATGGTTTAATCATTTGGAAAGAAAACAGTTGTGTATTTGAATGACAATAGTATGTTGTATTAACCAAAACATATAGAACAGCAAAAAAATATGAAAGGAAATCAATCATATGTAACTGCATTTTAAAATTGTCAATGTTGTTAAAATAGTTTTCATTTCTCTTCAGTTGTTTTATCATTTAAGCTGCTGTTGCCAATTGGTGCCAAGTTGGTGTTATTCTCACTATATTTCATGGGAAATTTGGTGGGAGGAATAGTATTTTTGGTGGGAAATTTTGAAGGGTTCATTCGTATATATATATAATATTGTGCTGCAGTCAGTACAGCAAGATTAGAACATAGAGATAACATCTTTAATATCATCCCCAAGCTTCCCACTAAAATGTGGTATGATATCAATATCATGCCACATTTTAGTGGGAAGCTGCTCAAATTTAGTGGAAACTGGAGTTTGAATCAATGAGATGTCTACAACTTGACAACAGTGTTGGTAATACCAAAGAGTTGATTAGTATTACAGATTACTGGAGGTGTCAAAATAATGAACAGTCAGATTACCAAGATTATAGTGTATTTATTCCTTTGATGTTTTATTTGTATTAAAAATCTTAAGATAAATCTGAAATGTTTTAATTTAAATTGAAAAATATAAAATCAGTGAGAAACATTTGAAATAATTCTCATTTGAATTTAATGTCAATATATTTGAAATTTATATAGTAAATTGAGAAATATTTGTGTACAGTAGGGTTTCTCTTTTCCCGGTCCTTTGCTTATCTAGGGATTTTGAGAAAAAAGTGATCTGCTTCCTGGGATATAATTAATTATTTTTAAGATATAAAATAAATCTCAAAATTGAATGATATAATTATTTTTCATTTTTTAAGTAATTTAATACATCCTGCCACCTCCAAAATAATCATGTTAATAATGCTGTGTAAAATATGTATTAAAAATTACCTTTTGAATTATGTAGAAATTTTCACAAAAAAAGTTTATTAAAGTTTGCTGGAAACTGCTTACAACAAAAAATAATGCCTTTTAAATTGAGTTGAAAATTTAAAGCAAAAACTGAACTTAGATCAAACTTCTAACTTGGAAGGTATTTTTGTTTTTTAAGTAAAACATATTATAAAATATTATTGTGCTTTTTAAAATCTTATAAAAATTTAAAGATGGTCAATACTCTGATCACTCAGTCTGGTTCTTATTTTAGTAATGAAAAGTCCTGGTACCAAGAATGCCCTTTCCAATTCAATTGATATGGGTGGAATTATCTTTAATGCACTTAACAGAAGACAAAAAAATGTGTTTTTTTTTTTTTTCACCTGTAGCCTGGAAGATTTCTAGTTTGTTTTCAAGATGCATTACACTACTTCATTTGCTCTCTAGTATTCTTGATTTGTCTACCTCGGCTGCTTAATTAATAGTGACATCGAGCTTATAGCACAATAATTTGGCAGTTGGTTTGGCTTTAATAAGCGGGTTTATGAAGAAAAACTTTATACTTGCATACTTACTCATTTGTATCCTTGTCCAATTTGCACAATCTGGCATAATGCAGTTATTGAAGCTAATGGACATGGTTAGAAATTAATATGGCACAGGTGCAATTATTCAAGATACAGGTTCTAACAAGTAAAAAATTTTCAGAGTCATGTCCCAAATAGGCTACATATTGATTATTGACAATCTGTGATATGCCATAACAAGCAAAAGTTTAAAAAACTAATAAGCAGGCTTAAAATTAATAAATACAAATGTATTCTGACAGTTTGAGTTAATTGTGCTTTCTATTTGCAAAATTTCCTTGACCTTAACATAAAATAAGAAAGAAGTGAACTTTCAAGAAATTTGTGGGATTTCCTGGCATGAGAAGAATTTCCCAGGTTAAAAAACAGTCTGGATCTTGTTAAAGAAACCTTAGTGTGCAATGTGCTTAAAGTTCCTGCAGTTCAATGTACTATTTCCATTAATTTGGATATTTTATGGGATAGATAACAAGATAATAACACTCATCTTAAAATAGTATTTATAAATACAGATAACTGATATAATACCAATATATATACTTAATATACTAAGCCAGGGATGGCTAACCTTTCTGAACTCTTTACAATTCAGCATTTGGAAAAGAAGAAAGAATTTCTCATGGGTAATGAATATTAAACTTTCTTCTTTTCCAAATGCTGAATTGTAAAGGGTTCAGAAAGGGATGTAATCTTTCTGAATAGTAAGTACACTTAGCTTTAAAGATGTTTATGCGTGCCAAAGTTTTAAACTTCGAATAACAATATTTAAAGAAATTAAATGAATATGCTTTAATTAGAATAAATGTAAAAAAAAAGCTTTTTGAGAAAAGGGTGATTGAAAAAGATAGATGATCAATCAAAATCATATGATATGTTACATGCCAGATGATTTCTCTATAGTGCCACTTTGGGCACGCATACCATAGGTTTGCCATCCCTGTACTAAGCTATATCTGCAAGCACTGTTATGATACAATTCTCTTTTTTTTGTAAGTTGTCATTATGACACTGGACAACTTCAAATAGCAGACTAGTTATTTTGATTGTATGTAAATTGTCATATGAAATGACTCAGTTTTGTTGTTGGTAAATTGTATTTTTTTCAGCCATTCTTTAAGTTCAAAGAAAGAAATTAAACAAATCAAGTCTTGACAGTATGGAGATGATCAGAATTTTTAGTGACAACTGTCAATTTCAGTAATGTCAACACCAAAATAGTTTTCATTCACTAAGATAATGTCTTTATTACTAAATACGATTTTGTTTAAACTGGCCTTTAGTCTATATCAAAACATAATTTTGTTTTTCAGATAGTACTTCAGATTATTTTTTAGTACAGTAGAACCTCGAAAACTCGGCCTAATGTGGACCAAAGGGTGGCCGAGTTTGTGAAAATGCCGGGTTATCGGAAATGGGGTTAAAAAAATTAAGTACGAGTGTTTCCTCAGAAAATACTGTACTGTACTTGTATGTACTGTTTACTTGAGAATATAACAGAGAATAAACTGCCCAAATACCCTTAAACAAAGGAAAAGTACGTCCTTTATGAAGGTATAGAGCCTTTACTACATGAAAATGAAAATTAATGAATACACTGTGTACAGTAATTTACCTGATAAGACAGACCTCAGAAAAATACTTTATGAGAGCATTTATACTTTTATAAAGCTGTCTATAATGAAAATTAATTAACTAAGGATCTTTTTGCCCTGCCAGGGTGTGCCCGAGTTATCCGGAGTGCCGGGTTATTGAGAGCCGAGTTTTCGAGGTTCTACTGTATTTGATTTACATGCTACAAATTATTTGACCATTAAATTGGCTATTATGATTATTTCTAAAGTATGTCATAGCTTTTAAATGTTTTTTGTTTCTTATTGTAGCTGTTACTTTTTGGTTCGCATTTGGTTATGATAACATGACCTAAATAATAATGTACACCAGAGTTTTTTATATGGTTTTATTTCCCTGAAGAAATTTGTTATAAAGTATTTGATTCACACAAGTGATAGAAGTACTAATCATGCCACAAATATTTCATTTTTCTTTGATTGTCAAGATCTATCATACACTTGGTTTACTAGCATTGTATGCAATAATAAATGAAATTTTAATATATTTTTTATAAATTTTATAAACAATGCCACAGACATCACACACAAGATTGTTTACATTGTAGATAATCGTTATTGCAATTATTTAGAATGATCCTATGAATAAATTCAACATTGTTATCCAGCGTGTTTGATCACTATAATCTTTCTTTCTGATGAGTTGGTTTTTGAAACATTTTACCATTCTATGGTTAAAATATTTAAATGTATTTGTGATTGATATAGATTGATAGAATATTGTTTTTTATACAGCAGAATCTGCTTATTTTAATCATTTTGGAACTTGGCTATATTGATTAATAACAATAATCAAATGTTAATGTAAAGTAGGCTAAGAAAGACAAAATCTGATTTTTTTATCAACTTTATAACTTTAATATGTTCATTTAATGTCAGAATGTATAACTTTAAGATTTAATTTCAATACAAAAGATATAAAAACCATAATTTTACCCAAATATTTGAATCTCTTAATATAGATACAGTTAGACTCTGCTTAATGCTGCCTCAATTAACACTGATTCGATATAATGCGGTCTACATATAATACACATCTCAAAGCCCGATGAGTTAATACAATCATCCAATGATCATCTAAACATTTGGGCTATAATATGGCTATAATCAAATAATTAATACAAATAAATTTGGTACTAGAGGTAAGCGTTAGGCACCATCTCTTAACTAAATTAATAAATATAATTTTAATAATTTAATAAATAATTTAGAATCTTCTGGAAGAAAATATTATATGATGACTTGTATGCTACAAATAATCTGTAGCATACAGTATAAGTCATCCTACGTCAATGGCCAATTATTCATTGGCTGTTGATGTAGGATTGTCTCCAGCCAGCACCGTTAGTAACCATGGAAGGTTATATCGAAAATTTAAATACTTCTGGAAGTGAAGGCTGGCTTGGGGTCTGGGTGGCACAATTGATAGTGCATCGCATGGCAAGCAGAGGCTGCAGGTTCATGCCCCACCTCATGTTATGAACCCACACCCTTTCTTTTTTCTGCAGTCCCTTATTTTCTTCCAGAAGGTTGTAAGTTATTTATTAAATTATTAAAATTATAATTATTAATTTAGTTAAGAGATGGCACCTAACGCTTACCTCTAGTACCAAATTTCTT